CTGACTCAGAAGATCTGGGGTAAAGGTCAAAATTCTGCATTTCTTCCTGCTTCTGGTCAGTGGACCACACTCTGAGCCATGAAGACAAGGATGAGTTAATGTCCTTTAAGGATTTCCCAGAACAAAATGTCCTTAAATGTGTTCAGATACACCCTATCCTGTGGATTCCCTTCTCTTGGGTATTATAATGGAATGTATTCGAATGTTCATCAGTAAACATAAACACCTACTGTATGTAATACCCTGCAATGGCTTCTGGGAAATCAAGGTACTTGTTATAACACAGGACCCCTGAATTTAAGGAGCTTGTATTCAACATCTTAACGCACACACACGTAGGCAGCCTGCAGAGAAGTCCATCCTGGGTGCCAAGTGAGGGTTATGGAGAACCAATGAAAGCTAGACGCTAGCATCTATTGTAAATTCCGTAGAGAACTCAAGTCCAAAGATTCACTTTGATCTGTTGAGGATGCACACACACTCCAGATGCAGGGCTGCATTCATACATCTTGACTTTAAAGCGAGAGTCACATTTATGTATGTATACATACGTACTCCCATAGGATATGTGATGTTGCGGTGTGTTGCCAAGTTTTCATAGTGGTAAGTTTTTCTCATTCCTTATTAGTGAAGGAGCCACAGGTTAGACATGAAGTCGTCTGGAACATAAATACACAACCTCATGGCGGGACCACAGTATTGTGTCTATTGTCTAAGGAACATGTCTATCTCGTTTGGCTGCATCTGGGGGACTTTCAGCCCCTGCTTTATTCCGGTTGAAGGTTACTATTTGTTATGGAAACAGTGATGTCAAGTCAGTGTGGGTGAGGGTTTGGATCATGAATCAATACAAAATAGTCCATCCCACAGGGTGTGAGCTATTGTTAGGTTTAGGAGTTCCCAGCTTGTGTGGGTGACCCCTCCCAAGCCCTGTGTTTTGGGTGGAGCAGTCTGGCAGGCTGTGGGGTGGCATGCTGGGGAGAAAGCATCTGTTTTAAATAGCACGAGTGAATTGGAACATGATTTGCCTCAGGAGCAATAGAAGACGAAGAGAAGTGACTTGAAGTGGCACACTAAGGCAAGTGACCACACATTAGAATGACTTCATGAATGGCCGTTCCCCTAGGGAGCGAGCACTCTTTTGGGAGATAAGGAATGGCTATCAAGTGGGAGTTCTTTGGAATGGAAACTCCTGGAAAATGGGGCTTCTGGGGGTCCTTGGTATTGCCAGAGCTGAGGTAGGCCAAAGCTGCCTTGGGAAGCCATGGCTAAGACAGTCTCTAGGCCTGGCTCCCAGGGAGGGAGATGCAAACAGGCCTGCCTGGCCCCATCAGTTGTTGCCTCTCAGGTGCTGTTCATGTTCCAGACAGTATGGCCTTTGATGTTCCCAATAAAGTAGGAGCGCTTCCCATGAGTTGTAGCATTAATTCCATCTCGCTGGACACTGAGACTTTAGGGATGGCAAGAACCTTGTCCAAGCTTACAACAAGTGATAGAGCAAGAACCTGAGCCCATTTTCACTCCAGAACCAACTTTCTTCACCACTGTTCTATGTTCTTAATGAAAAAGACTGAACTGGAGCCTTACAGTTCGACTGTATTCTGCTAAAATGTTAGTTATCACCCAATCCACAAAGCACGCATCGTGGCCCTGTAATAGAGAGTCCATCGTATCAGGCCTGGAGAACAGGGTGGTGGCCTGGCTCTCTGCAGGTTTTCACCAGTGGAAGCAGTGAAATTAGGGTTAGACTGGAGTCTGAGATAGCTCCACATCCACCATTTATGGAGCTCCCATCCCTACTCCAGGCCTGTGCTAAACACTGACTAAGCCTCACAGAAACATTAAGAGGCTGGGATTATTAATTCCACTTGACAGATCAAGGGGACAGAGGTGTGACAACTCCAAAGATGGGCGCAAAAATCGTTCAGCCAGTAGGGAAGCAATTCCTTTGGCTGTAAGAGGCTGGCTGTTGACTGCTCTGCTCTGCTGCATGTGGGTCAGAGACCTGGTGACCGCAAGTGATTGTGAGGCCAAGGAAGACCAAGACTGTGAGCCCTGCCAGCAGGTTGGCTCATCAGGACTCTTTGTGGAGGCCCTTTTTTTTTATTTTTTATTTTTTTGAATTGGAGTCTCACTCTGTCGCCCAGACTGGAGTGCAGTGGCCACTCCTGGCCACCGCAGCCTCGACCCGCTGGGCTCCGGCGATCCTTCCGCCTCAGCCTTCCAAGGAGCCGGAACTACAGGTGCGCGCTACCATGCCCGGCTAGTTTTTGACTTATTGTAGAGACGAGGTCTCGCCAAGTTGCCCAGGCGGGTCTCAAACCCGCGGGCTCAGGCAATCCACTCACCTTGGCCTCCCAAAGCGTGGGATGACAGGCTGAGTCACCGAGCCCGGCTTGTGGAGGCCCTCTGGATGATTGCCTTTGACAAGGTTGAGGGTGGGCTGAGGCCAGAAGAAACTTCTGCCAAATTTTTTAATTTTAATTTTTTAATTTGAAAGATGTGGGGTGCAATTCAGATCTAGGTATACAAGTGGTCATTGCACAGGTCCTTCTGGCAAATTTAAAGTTACCGAAGCATGGAATGTCGCGTTCTTCTCCATGGTCCCCTCTCTCTCTCAGCACCCACAGCCTTCCTTCTGGTGGGTGGCCTCCAGTGTGGTTTGCCAATACACCATGCACCTCTGCGTTTGTTCCACAAGGTAGAGCAGAGTGTCTCCATGTGCCTGGCCCTGGGCCTTCGGTGGGCCATTTGACCGGTGGCCCCACCTTGAGGAGGACGTTTGACGGGATGAGCCCTCATCCCAAATGCTGATTTCGTCCTTCAACTCATCCTCCAAGTCTTTCCAGAGGAATTAAATATTCAAAGGAGAAAAACCAATCACAGCAGGCACCACGGCTGGAAAACCTCTGTGTAAAAACTCATGAGAAAAACCAATCCTCCGGTCCCAATGGCATCTGGGTCTGAGAGGGAAAGGAAAGTGAACCCTGCAGACCAAGGGCAGAGACTCTGCGAGCTGATCAACCCAGTGAGGGTAATGGATTTTGAAAAACTGCTTTGTAAACTCTAAAGTGATTCTTGAGTGTCTGTCGGTTGCTATTGTCATTACCTAAAACACACATCTTAGGAACTATCCAAGAAATGAAGATTAGGAACTAGTGCAGATTAAAAGTGAGAAACTTGGGCCATGTGAACAGCTCAGGCACCCCAATTCACACCATGTCTTCATTTTTAACTCTGTCTACAGGCAACCCTAGTCACAGGAAGCTGGTTTGAGGCCCAGTTTCCGGATTTTCTTTTGAATTTTTCTTTTTCTTTTTTCTCCCCGTTGTTCTCTGCCCATTTTCTCCTTCTTCACCCCCACCAGGGCTGTGACATCTACCTGGGGTCATACCCAGCACATCTACAGGGGGCACCATTCACATCAAAGTCTATGTAAATGAGGTTATTGGGTCTTAAACATGGCTGCAGCTTAAAAATATTTGGAAGGACTTTAAACATTATTCATGTCTTGGTCCCTCCTCCAGATGGACTGATTTAATTGTTCTGAGTGGCAGCAGGTTTAAGATCTTGTCTAAGCTGCCCAGGTGATTCTAATATGCAGTCAAGTTTGAGAGCCCCTAGATTAGACTATGCCGTGAATGGCGCCCACCGGGGTGTATGATGAGTAACTTGCATAGCCTTGAACTTGGCCCTGCTCACCCCGGTTGGCCCAGCGCAATCCCCAGGAACCTGAACTTGCTGGTCGGAGAGATCATAGACTAGCTGCGCCCCTCTCTGCCTTTTTTACCCTACCTTCCCTGGGCTGGGATTGGGGTTAAGAGGAGTGTAGGGACTGAACCCCAATCCTTTGCGGACTCTCTCACACTTCCTTCATCCTCCTGAGGAATGGGGGAAAGGCGAGGGTCTAATCCTGCTGAAAGGGGGGGAATTTTTAAAGCCTGGTTTTGGAGGCTGCCCAATTCTGGGGCTCTGCCCAGGGTGAGCATGCCGTTTTGATCGCCTGACTCAGAGAGTGATTTAGACTCTCAGAAGAGTCTGGCTTGTTTCCCCTGGTACCTGGGTCATTCCCGGCTTGTAAATCAGTCACCTTTAGCAGCTGTGTTTTACTCTTGGAGGCCACGAGGGAACTGTGTAGTTTTTACTGAATTAGTCACTTAATTGCACCAAATATAGCTCTAATGCCTCAAAGAAGTCATGGCAGCTCCCAAAGGTGTCTGGCTTCCCGTTCTTCTCCTCCCCCTCTAACCGCAACTCTGGGAGCAAGTTAAATTCTGGAAAATTTGAGCTTCTGAAATCACAGCCTCTGAAAGGAACTTACTTTATTCTGTATATGTCAAAACCATCAAATTCTGTCATGTGAACCTAATGTCACCATTTTTACAACTAACGTCCTTAAGATGAAAAGATGGGGGAGACAAAAAAATTCCACAAAAATCTGTCCAGCCAACTGAAGCAAATATGGGACACAAACAGGTCATCGGTGTCATGGTTTAGTTTAAAGCTTACCTATTTTACGACTTAGATGCTCTGTAACGTATTGATGTCTTCCTGCTGATAAGTGCACCTGTCATTTGAAAATTGCCAATCAAACTTCTTTGTCCAAAACCTTGCATCTGGCATGTATAGCTATACTTGGCATTTCAAAGTTAATATCTTTGGTTCAGCAAAAAGATTCAAAACAAACTTGTTGTGTGAGGGGAGGAGTTGGGGGGAAAACTTCCAAATTTTAGAGCAGAAAGAGAGAGAGAACCAAGTATGGAAGAGGCTGCTAGCTGGCTACCCAATACTTGTTCTTTTGTAACAGAATAGCAGCAACAAAAAGACTATATTTCCTAGACTCTTTTGCAGTTCATTGGAGCTATGTGACCAAATTTGGGTTGGTGAAGGCAGAAGAGAAAATATAGCATGGAATTTTCAGGAAGGCTTTCTTTAAGAGAGTCAAATCGAATGTGAGGTGTGCCTTCTTTTCTTACCCGTTTCTTATTCCTTCTGCTTAGAATATGGACATAATGCTGGAGCTTCTGCAGCCATCTTGGACCATGAGGTGACTGAAGAGGAGAGCCACATGCTGAATGAAGATGGCAAAGCAGAAAGTTAGGTGCTTAGATGATAGAGGGACTGTGGAGACAGAAGCAGCACCATCTTGGATGCTAGTCCACCATGCTGACTTCTGATTAACCCCTGTTCTGGGAAGGCCTCTAAGATTTCTATTTTATCTACTATTCCTTGTGTAAGAGTATATACTTACAATAAAGCCTGCCCTTAGGTCAAAATGACCTTTACCATAAATCCTGCTCTTAGGCAGATTTACATAGCGTTCTTGTCTTTCCTTGCGGGGTCAACTTCAACTGTCCTACTCTTTCTTTGGGGGTGGGTGGTGCCTAGACGTGGCTTCTGTTCGGGCTTCTGTTCATAAGTTCCCACTAGATGTTTCTTTTTGAGAAACTGGATTTGTCAGCCTCTTTGGTCTCGTGGTTTCCTTGGCTTCCTTTGGGGGTGAATTTGCATAGACCTGCTCACCATGGAACAGGGACCAGCCCTATCTTACTCACCTCCAGACTTCATATATGTGACAGAGAAATAAAGCTATCTTGTTTAAGTTAAAGTTATCTGGGGCATTTTAGTTCTGTAACAACAAATCTAATCCTAAATAACCTATTATGTTAGGGTAAATTGATTTTAAAAGTCATTTTTCAAGCCCTGTTAGCATGTTTTGGCCCATGTCGGTCCATCTGCTGGAGGGAACAGCACGTTTAATCCTCACCAGGTTGTGCAGTGGTCAGGTTTAGCCTGAAACCATCCTTAACCCAAGGAGTATGGTAGAGATGTGCTTAGTCCAAACATGTTACCCTTTACAGAAGCTACCAGGCCTTTGTGAGTAAGGCTTTGGGTATCATCTGTCCCAACCTCCGACTCCCCCAGTCAATGACAATAGATTCGATGTAACACAAGGAAAGAGACCATCTGACATTCCACAGAAAGTTATCTTTGCTTAGAGGTGGGTCCGTGGACAAGGCATGTTGACTTTCTACAACTCTGCATTCACATTCAGCCACTTACTCTATTGACAATGGCAGCATGAGACAGCACTCAACAACTGACATGGCTCACCAGGGAAATCAGGTATGTCAACCCATCAAAATTCAGGAGAGGGAAGTCTCTTTATCTGGGCCATTCTGCTTCAAGGAGTGTGGGTATCAATAAAATTTCCTCAGGAGAATTTTAAGTCCTGCCCCAGAAACATCAATTAAGTGACAGATCCGCCTGCTTCTCGCTCAGGGTTTGTTCTGACCTGGCAGGACTTATGGTATCGACCTGCTCTGGCACAAGGAACAGCAGATAAAATAGAAATCTTAGAAGCATTTCTGGAATTGGGTTTAATCAGAAGTCAACACGGTGAATTAGCATCCAGGGCTGGAGTTGCTTTTACCTCCACTAGTAGACAATGAGGCCGCATTCAGAGTCATTGGGGATCCAGTCGTTTTTTGTTTTTTTTTCTTTTTAAATCTTTTTGCTCTATCTTGGAAGGTCGCCTCATGGTTCTAGGTGGCTGCTGGGGCTTCTGCAATCACATAAAATGTGTACTCTTCAAGAATGAGTGTATATAGCACCCTTGACAAGTAATTCCATCTTAGAAAAAAGACCCTACCTTTCGTTTTATTTTATTTATTTTTATTTGTACACCAGTGTTTACTGCAGCATTATTCACAAGAGCCAAGAGGTAAAATTAACCTAAATGTTTGTGGAGAGATGAAGGAATAAAGAAAATGTTCTACCTTTTATTTTAAAAGGCATCATGCCAAAGAGACCATTGGTTGTGTGCCTCATCAACAAAGACTGTATTCAACCAGGTAAGGACATAATCAAGCCTACACCCTTCCACTATCAGTCCTCACTGGAGGACTTTGTGGCCATAAAAAGAACAGGACTTCACCAGCTCAGCCTAACAGACACCGCCTTGCGGTCACTTGGGATAAGCGCCTGACATCTGCGGCCAAAGGCTCTGCCCGCATCAAAGACCCTTCCTAACAAGGTGTGCTGACCTGATACACTGTCTGTCTTGCCCAGGAAATTTCTTTCTGCTCACGTAAGTCTCCCCTGGACTGGTACGTTCACCTTTCTTCCTACCCCTTTTCTCTTAATGTTACATGTTACTTGGCTGTGGAATGTTTGACCTATGACTTTGTATATTGGTTAAGTACACAATGACGTGTGGTTTGCAGTGTGGACTGACCTGTGGAGTGGTTTAACCTTTGTGCCCACGGCTCTGGCTACTGAGTGAACAGGCAGTACTAAGGGGAATTGTCTCCTTGGGGACTCCGTGTAGCTCGCAGCTTCTGTGATTAAGACAGCCTCAATAAAAGTCTGACGTTGTGGAGAGTCACAAGTGTGTGTGGACCTGGTTTTCTCTAACCTTTTGCTGCTCACGACAATGAAGACAAACAGAAAATCAAAAAAGTAAAATTTCCAGCTATCTGTTCTCTAGGTAGGCTTTCAGGAAGCCCCTTCCAAAGACTTCTGCTTACACCTGATTAGCCAGAACTTATCACATGGTCAAACTTAGCGGCTAGGGTATCCGGGAAATGTAGTCTTTTAACTGGGCACAGTTGCTCTCCCTCCTCCAATCACATAGGACAACAGTTCTCAACGTTTTTGGTCTTGGAAATCCGCTATACCTTTGAAATTACTGGGGATTCGCAGAGATTTTATTTATGTAACCAATATCTATTAGTATTTGCAATTTTAGAAATTAAAGCCAAAACACTACAAAATATTTATTTATTTAAAATTACAAGCCCTTTACATATTAAATAATGTATATTTTCTAAAACCAAAAAAGTGAAAAGAGTGATACTGTTTTACATTTTCGCAAATTTCTTAATGTTTGACTCAACAAGAGACAGCTAGACTCTTATATCTCCTTCTGTATTTAATCTGTTGTGGTTTGATATTTGGGTTGAATTATGTGAAGAAAATCTGGCCTCATGCAGATATGCAGTTGAAAAATATAAAAATATTTTTAAAACTTTTTCAGGTAATCGTAGATATTTTTCTTTGATACTACACCAAAATTTATGTGATAGTTACTTCAATGTTAGTTGCGATATGAATCTGAAACCACAGCAATGAATATTTTGTGTTCTGTTACATTAAAATCCATTGATATATCTTGCGCATTGGATGAAGAACTATGGCACACGCATCAGTCATTCTTTCAAGTAAAAATGGTGTTTCATGAAAAATGTGACTAGTTCACCTTGTAACTCGGTCACAGAACTGCTTTCCCCCTAGCAACCATCATAGCTGTGCACGCAGCAGAAATGTTACTTGGCCTTCCCATTTCATCACACAGACTGTTCAAAATACAGAAACCCAAGGGTTGAGATTTCATTAAAAAACCATTTTTACTGCTTCAATGAGGGAATTTTAAAGTGAAACTGGCATTATTTATTTACCACAGTGATTTGTTACAGCAGACACAGGAAGCTAATACAAGCACCAAACCATCTAGCAATAATTATGTTCTTCACTGCCACACACTCACAGTAATAAACAACGAAATAATGCCAGTTTCACTCTAAAATACCCTCACTGAAGCAGTAAAAGTAACCCTCTCTTCTGTCTGTAAAATCTCTTCTGTTTTCTTCTTATAAGTATACAACGTGTGAACTTTCAAAGATGCAAATGTGCATTCACATTATTTGAAGAGGCGCCGTTAGTTCTTGAGGCACAGGACCCGAACCTAGAACAGTACATGAAGGTTGCAGCACCGTTCAGAATGCAAACCAGTGCTACCGGGTCATCTATGATGAGGGGAAAAAAAAGCTACTGCACAGATATCACTGAATCATTTTTTCAAGAGGGTAGACAGAATTAAATCCAGCAAGAAATCCGAACCTGTACCATCAACGTCAGGCGTTAGTGAAATTGCAGCTGGCCCCCGTCTCCCCCGTCTCCTGCGACCCTTCAGCTCTACCATCTCCTGCCTCCTCTCCCTCCTCCAGTCAGTAACTCTTCTCGCCTGTTCCCTCGATGCCAGTCCCTGGATGCCAACTGTTGTACTGGATGCCAGCAGTGATTAAATACAGAAGGAGGTATAAGAGTCTAGCTGTCTCCTGTTAAGTCAAACGTTCAAGAAATTTGCAAAATTCTAAAACAGTATCACTCCTCTCACTTTATTTGGCTTTAAAAATGTTTTCTTTGGTTTTTGATTTTATTTGTTTTTAATGTATTCTTTGTGTGACTTTATGTATAATTTGTGTTAGGACTTACGAACAAATTGGACTTGTGAACATGCTCTCAGAACAAAGCTCATGTGTATATAGAGGACTTACAGTACAAAAGGGTGTGACTTAAAACAACAGAAATTTTTTCTGTCTCAATTCTGGAGATCAGAAGTCTGAACTCAAGGTGCTGGCAGGGTCACATTCCCTCTGGAGGCTCTGAGAATCTGTTCCTTACCTCTTCCAGGGGCTGGTGGCTCCGGGAATTCCTTGGCTTGTGGCTGCTTCTCTCGAATCTCTACTTCTGTCTTCACTGGGCTTTCTCTTCTGTCTGTAAAATCTCTTCTATCTTCTTCTTATAAGTATACACGTGGTTGCATCTAGGGCCCACCCAGATGATCCAGGATAGCCTCTCTATCTCCTTAAATTAATCACATCTGCAAAGACCCTTTTGCCAAATAAAGGAGCTTTTACAGATTCTAGAGATTAGGTCCTGATATATTCGGGAGGAGGGGGTATTTTTCAGTCTACCACAATACTATTGCTTTGATTGGTGCTAAGGCACCAGCAGTTTAACCCACTATTCCTTTTGTGCCATCAGTGTGCAAAGGTCCACACAATTAAAAAGTTAAATAATGTTTCAGAATGATCACTGAATTCATTTGGACCTTGCAGAAAGCGTCCCCTAACTCCCTAAACAAAGGTCTCAGGGAGTCCCAGAGACCTCTGGCTACACTTTGCTAACTGCTGATGTAAGTGAATAGAAGTTGGGTATACAAATAGAATTCTCTGCCACCGGCTGAGAAGGAAAGCTAGTCTTTTAGCCTCCCAAAAGTGAGCTCACTTTGGGGGGATAGGAAAGGGGGTGTAAGACTCATCAGTCTCAACTGATAATAAAGCCCCGAGATCACATCAGTTTTACAAGCGTTCTTTGCCTGGCATCCACAGAGCCCCTGAAATCATGAGGATTTTCAGAGCTCTGGGGAGGGAATTTTCAGAACTCCCCTTAGATTCTTAAAGAGGTCTGGTCACTATGAGAGACGGAGCCACTGGAACGGAAAGGAA